CCCACCTCCTCCTCTCAAAACCTGTATATATTTTAGGATTAAGTTTCTGTAAAAGAAATGGACCTTGGGCCTAACTCAACCTCAAAAGCTAGCTCATGAGGTGAGGATTGCTCAAGCCATATAAAGCAACCATCCATCCCTTTATGGACCGATGTGGGACTCTTCAACACCCCCCTCATGCCCAGGGCTAGACATCTAGAGCGTGGACAATTTAATATGGGGGCCCAACATTGGAAAACAAGAATTGGCATGGGTCCTGCTTTGGTACCATGTTAAAGAAATAGATCTTGGGCCTAACTCAACCCCAAAAGCTAGCTCATGAGTCGAGGATTGCCCAAGCCATATAAAGCGACCACCCATCCCTTTATGACCGATGTGGGACTCTTCAACAGTTTCTTATGAGGGATCTTTCCTCTTGTTGCAGGCTGCAGCTAAAATCATGATGAAAAAGAAAAAGGTAAATTTGTGGACCTAATTCTTGCATTTCTCAAATAATATTATTTGTCCGGAAAGGTTCAAGTTTTTGAAATCTGCTTCCTAAAGGGGAAGCAGCATGCATTTGTAATTATTTACCTGACTGATCCTTCTCATGTATTATGAAGAACTTAGCTCTATGGACTCTACAGCAGTTATGAGCACTGACTACACCGCATGGTGGTCAATGAGGTCATCCGACTGATCATCTTCAAAACCTCATATGTGACGGAAATAGCACTAGAACAATTATAAACCATGTGGGGTAGGGTTCATCCTAGCCTTTGGGTAGAGTAACCAAAATTATATCTGTCGTTCCTGGTTTGTTGGACTCACATGGTAGTCAAAGTGGAAAGAAAAATAATCCAAAAGGACCAAAACACAATGACAGGCTGGTAATTTGCTATGCTAGCACAGCATTTTTTTCATGGGCGGTGGGCAGAATTAACTACCTTAGCTGGATTAAAGGGAAAGTGACAGAGCAGATAATGATACATTACTTGAATGGAGATAGTTAATTTCCACCTAGCCTTAAAAGATAACCTAATTCGACCGCAAAATTGTCACATCAATTAGCTTCCTATTTTCTTAGAAGCATCAAGTTGAGTTGATTTCAGCTGCAGAATTTAGAGTTTTGCCGTGTTGGAAATTGGTGTGATGGAATGATTTTGATGACTCAAAATCTGTTTCTACCTATTCCCTTTTCATAGATTTCTGTTGCTGTTGTCATTTTCTTTGATTTTGTCACCTGCTATATTGCTGACAGCTACCTTTTCAATCAACTTGAACTAGTAGTCATTTGTACCAAACAACCAACAAACTGAATGATCCTTGAGTGCGCTAAGATAGGTCAGATTGTGCCAGATGCCAACTAATGAGACTGTTGCCACCATTATGCATTGTCCTGTAACCTATTTATATAGCGATGTGTTGTCCTTGAAGAAAAACTGATCGCTAAGATCTAAGTAATGCAATACATTCCGTATATACTCCAGGAATTTATGTATAAGCATGGTCTGCATTTGTAGGGACGAATCATCAACATATCTTCTGTTGTTGGTTTAGTTGGCAATGCCGGGCAAGCCAACTACAGTGCTGCTAAAGCAGGAGTGATTGGCTTAACCAAGAGTGTTGCAAAAGAATATGCCAGCAGGAATATTACTGTAAGTTCTCTTAAGCATTCCCTTATATTGCTTAGCTAGGGCTGTTTATATTAATGCTAGTTACTGAAGTATTTCGTAAAGCATATTATAAAGGAAACTATCTCTGTCAAGGACAAGCTAATTTCTTCTTCTTGTTTTTTTTTTCCTTTCTCTTTTTAAAATAATGATTTCTTATGTCTTATAATTAGATTTTGTGTGCTGATTTTTTTCTTTTGACAGGTTAATGCCGTTGCCCCTGGATTTATTGCTTCTGATATGACTGCCAAGCTAAATGAAGACATTGAAAAGAAAATTTTGCAAAGCGTTCCCTTAGGTCAGAGTAAATATCTTTTAAAAGTATTCTTGGCATTCATATCTCAACATAATGACGACTTCCTGCACATCTAAACAAGGAAAATTTTACAACTTGACTTCTAAGATAAGGACTCCAAGTAGAGTAGAACAACATCAGATGCATTAAGCAGAATTTTTTATTTGTTTCCTCCAGAATCTGAAGTAATAAAACTAAATGTGTACTGAAATCCATCAATTGAGAGTTTGGATCTTGCTAGAAGAGAAGATTTCCCCTTCTTCCACTTGCATCCACATTTTCTAAATTTTGTACATTCTATATATAGAAGATTCATTTATTAAGCAAGTGTAACTATTCCATCAATTTTAACTTTTAGGAAATAATGGTTCTCATATATCTTAAAAGTGACAGGACAGTAGAGCTCTTTTAAACCATGGCTACATTGACTAATGTTGGTGTCATATAATATAGGACGCTACGGTCAACCGGAAGAAGTTGCTGGACTAGTGGAATTCCTGGCACTGAATCCTGCAGCTAGCTACATTACGGGACAGGTATTGCCGTATTATGTCGTTTCATCTGTCCTTTTTCTGAAGCTTCTCTCTTGCTGCTTATAGCCTGTTTGGCCAAGCTGGAAATTCAACTTATTTTGAGAAGTGCTTTTTTTCAAAAGCACTTTTGGTGAAACCAGTTTGTGTTTGGCTAATTAATTTGAAAAGCACTTCTAAGCAGCAATTTGTGTTTGGCCAAGCTTTTAAAAAGTGCTTCAAGTGTATTTTTCTCAAAAAAGTGCTTCTGGGAAGAACTACTTTTTTCTGCTTCTCCAAAACTATTTTTGCTTCTACTCAAAAATACTTTTTTTTTCTTTTAAAAGCTTAGCCAAACACTTCAACTTTGAAAAAAGTGCTTCTCAACTTGGAGAAGCTTGGCCAAACAGGCTATTAGTTTTAGAACAGTTGTTTATTATGCGTATTATTTTCTTTACAGGTTTTGACCATTGATGGTGGGATGGTTATGTAGAAGTTTAGAAAATCCGTATTTTGTTTGCTCACAAAGAAGAATTGAAAGGGTGATTATTTAGGTTCCACCGGGGCTGTAGCCTCATTCTATGCCTGAGGAAAAGGAACTTATTAATTTAGTGGTAGGAGATGGCCGGACATACTGTTTTCTGCATTTTCTCCTCTTCTTTTTCCATTTTGCTGGCTGAGGAAGCATTTTTTGGAAATTTTGAAACAGGGTTTTAATTTTTGTTTTGGTTCCTATACCAGAGTTTTAAAACCTAAAATGCTGTTATTGCTTGAATGTTGATGTATGTTTTGGCAATATTGGTGTACTTCCTTTGGTCAAATCATCTTCATGCGCTTTCATGGAAGACTGCTGCTGTTTGCCCGGAGAGATTGAGATTGATAAATCAATGACGTTATTATAAACGGAAGTTTCCGACCCCTAATATCTCTATTTCCACCCATTTAAAGGATAACTTCTTATAGTCGTAGCGCTTCTTCTTTCGCTAAAGCAAGGTGGAAAGTTGAACCTGAGAAAAAATGGCTTCTAACGCGATTAGTAAAAGACAGGCAGCCAACCACATTAGCAATTGTGAGAAGTACCTGAGCACATCCATTATTATATTTTATATTCAAATATTTACCACTTTCAATTATCACTTTATCTTGCTTTCATGTATATTTAAAACTAAATGATTAGCGAAATCTTTACTCACTTCTACAGTAATTAGTTGCGACATTTCTCTTGTTTCTTCCTTTCTTTTTCTAAAATTGACCCCGGGGATTCGAATCTTATTGCGACACTAATCAGTCTAGTTGTTTTGTCATTCTTTTTTCTAAAATTAGGCCCACCCATAGGGGATGGGCATATTTTTTTTTTTTTTTTTTTTTTTTTTTTTTTTTTTTTTGTTTGGTTATTCTTTCAAAATTTTCAAGTTTGAGACATTGAAATTCCTATTCTCCTTCTGTCACTATAAATTTTGTATAACTAAAATAAATAAGTATCTATATTAAAACTAGCAGTGGCGGCAGATTATAGCCAATGGATTAACTAATCTTAATATTTTCGATAGGGAGTATAAATATACAAAAAAAATAAAAATGAAAGGAAAATTAATTAATTTTGAACCTATTTGTTACCAAGAGTAACAGTATGATAAAAATTTAAAGGTTGAATTTGTCAAATCTAAATTATAGATTGATATTTTGATAATAATGCACACATCTTACTGAAATAATGTATAAGGCTATGCGCTACCGTTTGAGTGTTAATTCTGAACTATTGGTTTTGTTCGGTGAATACTTTGAAGTCTTTGATAATCTTACATACCAGAAATCAAAGAAATCAAAACCGGCCGCTTTCTCTCAAAGAGGACCAAGCCGACGAAACACCTTGATCTTCTTCTCTCAGCGAATTGACTATATCCAAATGACACGAGTAAACAAGCAGAGTATATTAAGATGCTTAAAGAGAATCCTATGAAAGGAACTCGGCAAAATAACACGCGGGGAGGAGATGTTCTCTCCTCTTTGGATTCTTTTGTTCTGGAAACAGAGAGACTCAGGCTTGGGCCTTTCAGGCCAACTTTGTTTGTCCAATTGAGCAATGCACATAATACATCGCGCATCAAAAGTTTCTTTAAGTTTGTCATTTACTAATAGTTGGGGTCATTTGTGTCTCTGCCTTATGTAATAGGCTCGAATACGCCCTTATCCACCATGCCCTAAACTTTTGTAGATGCATATTGTGGTCAATCAAACTTTCATAAATGAGTATTGTGACAAGAAAGACACTCAAGTGCGATTGCATAATTTTGAGTTAACACGGATGACGAGTGAGCTTTATCAAGGACAATTATTTGTTCTCATTTTATTGTCTTTGTTTTTTGGAGTTTAATATAATGACTTAAGCATCATGTCCTCTTCCCTAAAACGACATTACAATTACCTTCATAGCTGTTTGAGCTGCAATAAAATAAATTACTATGTCTACTTTCAGTATAGTTATGGTTATGCAACATATAATTGATTGTTAACGTTTATGTAATTATTACGTTCTATTGCAAGAAATGAGACTTGAGTTGTACATTGGTACTACAAAGTGCTGATGTAGGGTTTATATAGCCTTGAACTCTCTCACCTTAATAGCTAGCTTTTGGGGTGTGATTTTCCCTAGGTTGTATCAATAGTATCAGAGCCATCCACCACCCTCTGTACCCATCGTGCCTTGGATGGTATTGCAGCGTTCGCCCGCGGCTAGAAATGTCTAGCGCACAGCCGTCGAGGACGATGAATGTGGAGCTAGTGGCTTGTTATGGTCTATTGCAAGGAATGAGACTTGAGTCCCACATCGGTACTACAAAGTACTGATGTGGCTCATGTGAGGTTTATATAACCTTGTACTCTCCCACTTTAATAGCTACCTTTTGGGCAGTGGCGGATTCAAGATTTTAAAGTCGTGGGTGCTCGGGGATAAAAATTCTAAAAAAAGAGGGAAAACAAATTTAGTTGTGGGTGCTCGCTCAATACTTATCCAAATATTTTGTTAATTGTATATGTAAATTTACTAGATCTAATCAAAGACAATGGGTGCTTGAGCACCCATAATGAATGTAGATCCGCCCCTGCTTTTTGGGTGTGGTTTTCCACAGGTTGTATCAGATTCATTGTTTACATAGTTATCCTGTCCAGAAACTCAAAGACGAGAAAAACCGAAAAGAAGGGAGATTGTTGTAAAAAAAAAATTTAAAACGTTGTGTTTTATATCTTTTACATAATGCAGAATATATCAGTGCAAGGTTGTTCAATATGTGTGTTATCCCCTAATTAGTGGTAGGATTTAAGTGCTGGTAATTAATAGAGCTTCTTGGAGAAGTTTCTGAAGACGTAGTACACTACTAAAAATTCGGTCAAAACCGACCACGGCCAACCGATCGACTTCGGTCGTAAAAAAATCGACCGAAGTCAGTAGGTTTTTTAAAATATTTTATTTTTTAATTTTTTTTACGAAATTTTATTTTTTGGCGCAAAAATGCGGGAAACTATTTTAGCATCCCGCGAAATTTATTTTTTAAGAAATCGACCGAAATCGGTCGGTTATTTCAGTCAGTCATTTTAAAAAACCGACCGACTTCGGTCGGTAATTTTATATTTTTAATAAAACCGACCGAAATCGGTCTGTTATTTTCGCGCAAAAATGCAATTAAAGAGTACAAATAAATTAAAAGAAAATCATAAACAAAAATGTACCAATAGTCTAGTGGTAGAATAGTATCCTGCCATAGTACAGACCCTGGTTCGAGTCCCAGACGGTGCATTTCATAATTAAAAATACCAATCGAATTCGATCGTTTTTTTCGATAGATTTTTTTTTTTTTGGGTCGTTTGTGAAAATTAATTTACCGACCGAAATCGGTCGGAAATTGCGACCGATTTCGGTCGCTATTTGTTACCGACCAACTTAATTTTGACGGATTAAAATCGGTTAGAAATCGGTCGGATTTTTCAGTTTTCCGATCGATTTCGGTCGGTTTCTGGACGGTTTTAGCCAGTTTTCTAGTAGTGGTACTAAGCATGTTTTGATATTAAAATACCATAATGTTAACCAAGACATTAAGCAGACGTTTGGACATAAAAAATATAATTTTTGAAAAAAAGTTATTTTTTGGAGTGAAGTTAAAAAAAGGTATTTGATATTTGAAATTGTGTTTGGATATATATGTTACTTGAGAATATGTTGCAGCTTTTGAGGTGAAATGAAATTTTGCATGAAAAAGTAATAAAACTCACTTTTTCAGACTTGGAAATTTTGAAAAATCCAGCCCAATGTATAACCAAACAGGTTTTTTTTTAAAAAGAAAATTTTCTGTATGGACAGACAACAAACGAATCCTAAGACTGCAATAATGCATATACTATATAAGTACATTATATCGTTCACTGATATTTTTGCAATACCCTAGTATTTAATTTTCTTTCACTGGAATAATTAAAGTCTCTTTAACTTCTTTTTTTGAGATTTTAATAGTTTATTTAATTTGCGTAAACCATGTGATACAGAAAAAGCTTTAAACAGTTGCTGGAGTTGCATAAAGGTTAAAAACAAATCAGTATACATCATTGTTTACCCGAAAAATGGATAGAGTTGAATTTATACGTAGTTTCGAGGATATATGGCGTAACTTAACACAAAATGTAAGGATAAATAGAAATGTAAATATAGATTGCAGAGAATGCGAAATAGATAAGATTGTCAGGAACAATGAATCTTAGGATTCAACAAATAGAATCAATCTAAAAAATCTGAAAGAACGATTCTTTACTGTAGAAGAATATAGCATTTTTATTACAATGTAAGCCTAAAAAAACTTGTTTTACAGAAATGGTAACCAAGCCCTTTTATAGTGGAGGGATTCAGCTCTAAGCATAATAAAATAAACATTCAGTGGGAGACCCATGATAAGTCAGCTTTTTCATAATTTCTACCAAGATTCTCTCTAGTGGGATTGCAACGGCTTTTGTCTGCGAGCTCGACCTTGCTTAGAACCCTCGGTTTTGGTTTGAGCTTGATTTCGGCTCGAATTCGTGATCTTGGTTCGAGCCCGATCCTGGTTCGAGCCCTCGAATTGATTCGAGGTCAATGTTGGTTGGTCTCTAGATTATCAGTATGATAGATCTACTCTGCATCATGGTTCGATTTCGATTCGAGCTTGATAATGATATCGAACTCGACTCGAATCGGCCTCCCCTGGTTCGAGGTTAATTTGTTCCACCTTCGGGATCTTACTTCGATTGATCATCGTTAGAACTCGATCGGACGTGCTAAGGCCGAAATCTATTTCGACCGTTTACAGATAGTCCCCTCGTTTCTCAGAAAGAATGTGGCGAGAAACGATATGATTTTTTAACAGCTCGATCGGATTATAACCTGTCATTTCCATCGGGTTCGACCATGACGCATCTGGTAGCTGTCTCGTCGATTTAGTCTTTCAAGGCATTTAATGCATGTCAGGCGGTGGTCGGCCACTGCTGATACTGAACCGCCATCGCTTGAACCTATAAATAACCCTTTCTTTTTATCTTTTACCACTTTTACATCTTCTATCTTCCAAATTTCCCAAGTTCTTCTTCGTACTCTCCAACTTACCAGTAAATATGTGATTTCTTTCTGCAAAAGCCCCTCTTCAATTCTACCAAATCTTTGTCACTTTCTTCTATTCCTCACCTTTGAATTCGAAAATGGCGAAAACATCGCAAACCATTCCTCAGAAAGAGAAGGCTTCATCTTCACAGTGTGCCACCGATGAGACACCGGCAGAACCACGGCCTGAGGAGTGTGTTCCCGGGG